CTCCATCCTCAAACCTAAATCAAAACAAACAAGAGAACAACAGGTGCAGCCAGGTCAGGTCCAGACATGTGGAAGATCCATTATGGCCATGAATTGTGGTGCTAATTAAACCCCACAACCTGTACAGGTCAATAGAGATAACTAACTAACAAAAACTGTAAACAAGTGTGTGTGTTAGTTTCAGAGTAGTTTCAGAGTAGTTAGCTCCTCCCTGCTGACAGTTATAAGGAAGTGTCCATTTGTGTCTGACCAGAACTGAAGAAGCAGCTTGGATGAGCTGCAAAACGTCTTCAACCAAACTAACTTTTGTCCAGTCGACTATTGTCCAGAATTTTCTCCTTGTAACAGGATGGCTGTACATATGTTGGCTGTCCAGAGGAGGTCAAGATGGCTTCGTAGTCTGAGTACGTGTTCGTACCCGTGTTGACTTGGTGAAACGTTGCATTTCTGTGTGGGAGTTTATATATAATGAGCTTGGACGACGACATTTCAAAAAAGCCTGATACAAAAAGCAAAGCAAAAAGGAAGAGCAGTGCTGTAAACGCTGCTGGCGACGCTGTAGAACCTGCAGTGGTGGAGCCGAACTGTCGGAGCCATCTGTGGAATGATAATGACAGAGCTGAGGAGCGCAGCAGTGAGGTGGACCTGGCTGTCATTTTGGCTTTGAGCAAGATAACAGGAAATATCACAAAGGCATTTGACGCTAAAGCCCTGATTGGGTTTACCTGGACCCCCCGGTAAACCAATCATTATGAACGTCACCTGTGTTTCTAGTCCTGTGTGAATGCTCCATGTCTTTAAAAATGTCCATAAAAATTCCACAAAATTTTACCTCCTGTAATTCTGCAAACTTGGTGCTCCTCGTTAGTCTGTTTTTGGTCTGTACATGGAGGCAAAAAGTGCCTGGAAACATCTCCACAGCCCATTTTAAGTCCAAATATAAACTTAACCTACAATATTTACTCTCCACAGACTATACTCAAATAAAGTTATTGTTTTATATACAGTTAGAAAGTAAAAAAAACATAAATCCAACTTTTATATATATATATATATATATATATATATATATATATATATATATATATACACATAACTGCAGGGTGTGAGATGCTGCAGGGAAAGCATACATGGAGTGACATAACCAAGTGGCGGGCATAGTGTACAGAAACATCTGTGCAGAGTACGGGCTGGAAACCCCAGGATCAAGGTGGGAAACACCTCCAAAGGTTGTGGAGAACGACTGAGCCAAGATCCTGTGGGACTTCCAGATACAGACTGACAGAATGGTGATGAACCAACCAGACATAGTGATGGTGGATAAACAACAGAGCAGAGCCGTGGTGGTGGACATCACAATACCAAGTGATGGTAATATCAGGAAAAAGGAACATGAGAAACTAGAGAAATACCAGGGGCTCAAGGAGGAGCTGGAGAGAGCCTGGAAAGTGAAGGCATGAGTGGTGCCTGTGGTGATCGGACACTCGGGGCTGTAACCCCCAAACTGGAAGAGTGGCTACAACAGATACCGGGAAAAACAACGGACATCTCAGTCCAGAAAAGTGCAGTACTGGGAACAGCAAAGATACTGCGCAGAACTCTCAAGCTCCCAGGCCTCTGGTAGACGACCCGAGCTGAATGAGGGTGAGAGACCAACCACCGTGGAAGGTGAGAAACACATTTTTTTATTTTATATATATATATATATATATATATATATATATATATATATATATATATATATACACACACACACACACACACACACACACACACACACACACATTTTATTTTGTATATATTTAAAGTACATCATACATCAATTTAAGACTAAAGGGAGCAGAGATACAACTTTTTCTTGTTTTGTCGAGGGCCATTTTGAATTTTATGTACACCGGCCACTAGGGGGCACACCCCAACTTACATCCATGGATTTTTGAAAACCTTAGAGGCTTAGACCCATATCTAACACCCTGCCAAAAATCAAAAACTTTTTCAGAAGTGCACGATTTTCATGAATCCCCCTGGCTAGCAGAGCTGTTTAATGTCACACTGTGGAACATTCCAGGCAGAGCAATGACATCTCCATAGAAACAAGCAGGTGACAGACCCCCAACCAAGAAGTTATGTAGTGCCCATTTAAGTAAAAGTGCAGATATGAGAGGAAAAAGTTAAAAGCAAAAGTATCATATGAAAAAAGTACTAAAGTATTAAAGTACCTGTTTAAAAATGTACTTAAAGAGTAAAAAGTACGTATTTTGCGTAGATTTTTAGATCTAATAAAACTTAAAATGCATTTTGTGCTGTATTCGGTAGTTTTTTTTCTTAAATTTAAATTTTTTCTCAAACTGAACATTTTAAAAATACTCACCTCAGGCTTTTCAGTTGGTCTCAAACAATAATAAAGAACTTTTTACTTTTACTACTTTTTACTACTTTTACTACTTTTACTTTTGAGTTTTATTACAAAATGTAGTGGAGTAGAAAGTACAGAGGCCTGTAAATACAGATGTCGTGAAGTAAAAGTCAAAATTATTCACTTTAAAATGTACTTATGTTAAGTACAAATACCTCGGTACAGTAGGGGTGAGTGGGGCTTGTTGTCACACTTTTTTCATTCTTGTCTCTGTCTCACAAACCAAAGACAACAGAAATGTAAAATGTATACAGAATGAAAGAGTAACATCAAAGATATTTGTGCTCTTTTCATTCGGTCTCTGTCTTGTCCACATCCAGAATAACAATTTCCAACTACTGGACATTGCAGAGGCCACTGACCAGTCCTGGTTTGTGCTGTCATACAAAAATCTAAACTTTCTAATTGGCAAACAAATATATGAACTTGTAATGAATGTTTAAAGTGGTCCATGGCCTCACCTCCACTCCAACAGTTTTGTAAATGTAATGACACACTGAGGAGGAGTGTGTCTGAGGCCTTCTTCACTCACAGAGGCACAGAGGTGGAACTGTCCCTGTGATCAGCAGGGAAATGACCACATCCAGTTAAAGTACACCTGAGGAAGTGGCTTTAATAACCACACCTGTCAGCAGTCTCACTAATGGACTTGAGATACATGTCTGCGCTGTTATGTGTTCTCCAAGATGTTTTTACAATGTCTTTGCTTGTACATATCTGTGTATATCTGTATATCTACAATTGCCTTTGGTTTTTAACATCAACAAGTTAGCATTTAGAGCACTATTTGTACACTGCCTCTGTTATTTTATTTATTTATTTAATAGGGACAGTGAATATTAATGAACATCTACAACACTGCAGTGTAAATATGTCAGATTATAGCAAGAATGCTCATTTCCATCTGTCGTCCCTCGGCAGGTAACACCACAAATTTAACAGAAAAAACAAAAACAAGTGACAGTTATACAGTAAAAGTGTCCACAAGTCTGGTTTTCCTTTAGCCACTGTTTCAAGTAGGACCTGAAAGTGGCAAGTGTTGGAGTTTCTCTTATTGACAGTGGCAGACTGTTCCAGAACTTTGTGCCTGTGACTGAGACACACATTGTCTGAATGTGGAGCGTCTGTGTGGAGCTCACAGTTCCCCTGGGCTGTGGCTCTAGTTCCCACTGACAGTCTTTACTTTAATAAAACCCAGTAACGGAGGAGGGGCAAGTCCATGCAAAACTTTATACATAAAACATCCATATTTAAAATCAACACAATTATTAAAATGAAGCAGATTGTACTTGTCTAAAACAGTGCAGTGGTGAAATGAGAATGGTTTCTTGTCCAATATTTTTATGGCTTTTTAAAAAAGTGATTCGATGGGTTTGAGTGTTGTGCCAGCAGCAAGTGACCATGTGGTTATGCAATACTTTATATGAGACAGTGTAAAAACATTTGTGCCGCATACATAAATAGAAAGCTGCAAATGTACTTAGTTTGTATTAAAGTTGCCCCAAAAGGACTAGGGTTATTAAAACACCATTAACACTGTTTGGTATAGAAAAGTGGATTTAATTACACTTTAATTCTGACTCTTTCTAGTATTTTCCACTCTTATTTCAAGCTAAATAATGTCTCTCTCTGATCTGAATGGTCTCTACCCCAGCTCCTGCAGCGTCATGAGTCAGTGCTAGTGCAGCCTCTGCAGCTCAGGAAGGGAATCCTGGAGGTTCTGAACTTCACGAGTTCTGCTGTTTTTGCGGTTAAGGCAACACAGGTTCATTTGTGAGTCTTTTTATTCCAGCAACCACACAGGTCCTCTCCACTGCTCAACACCAAAGGCTCATGTCAGTAGTAGTGTGCCATAGAACCTTCTGCTTTTTTAAACTATTTGGTGCCGCCTGGTGGCCACATTACACATTGCATAAATAAACTGCATAGACAGACTTTCCCTTCTCACATATACAACTCTGTCTAGTCAATAAAAAGCTCAGTGTGTCCAGGCTGGTGACTGTTTGCTTCTCTGTGTCATAATTTACTCTGGTCCAAGAGTTATTCATTCTTAAATGTTAATACCTGTGCTAGTGAAACTATAAAACATCACCTGTCCGTCCCTGTTACTGTGTGCTCAAAATCCTGGAGCTGTAGTTCAGTGACTCCTCATGAGAACTTTTGCTCTCATGCAGTTTACACAAGAGAAGGACGACCTGCTGTGTGTGAAAACCACAAAGGGCTTGACTGGAAGAAAACATCTCCTGTACACTCGTCCCATGCAGCACAACTGAAATGCCACTGCTTCATTTGGAATGTTCCACAGTATGGCATTAAAGTATAATTTTTGTTGAAAAAGCTTTTTTATTGTGAGTGAACAAACACGTGGCAGACCGTGCACCAGAAAAGTTTCATAGTACATCTTTAAAGGATGTATTAGATCCAGATGTGTCTTGTGTAATATGTTGACAAATGTTTAACTGTTTGTGTTTTTGTCTTATGGAGTTTATCTGCCTCCAAACCGGATATATAAAAACATAAACACATTCTGACACATTCATTTACAGTTTATTAAGTGATACCACACTGTACATAGAGCAGAGGACGAGGAGAAGAGAAGAAGAGGAGGGGGAACAGAGGAGGAACAGAGGAAGTAGAGCAGGTGAGGAGCAGAGGAGGAAGAACAGAGGAGGAACAGAGGAGGAGGAGCAAAGAAGTAGAGGAGGAAGAGCAGAGGAGAAACAGAGAAGCAAAGGAGGAGGAGCAGAGGAGAAGCAGAGAAGTAGAGGAGGAGGAGCAGAGGAGGAACAGAGGAGGAGCAGAGGAAGAGCAGAGGAGGTACAGAGGAGGAGCAGAGGAGGTGCAGAGGAGGAACAGAGGAGGAGCAGTGAAGGAGCAGAGGAGAAACAGAGGAGGAAGAGCAGAGGAGGAAAAGAGGAAGAACAGAGGACGAGCACAGGTTACGCCGTCCAGCTTTTGTTGATGTCCACCAGCTCCATGCCGTCGCAGTAGGAACGTGGCCGCGACACTCTCACCTGCAGGAGGAGACACAAAAGAATCAGACTCATCAGAAACAGAGATATCTCCAGATCTTGAGCTAGTCTCGGTCATCTTTTGCCTGAAGAAGACCCACCCAGACACACGGATAACATGCAAACTCAAGTGTGTGGCCCTATGTAACTGCATATAGAGAGAACACTTTATCCCCCTGGTGGCTGAAGAGGGTCACTACATCATTTAGAAAAAAAAAGAAAAAGGAAATGACAATAAAAAAAATAAAAATAATAATGAATACAAAATAATAAAATAAATAAATAATAATAATAATACTAATAAAAATACTACTACTACTACTACTACTACTACTATACTACTACTACTACTACTACTACTACTACTAATAAAATAATAATATAATAATAATAATAATAATAATGTTTGGTGTAGTACTATGATCTGGATCCAAGCCGAGACTAAACCAGGTCTACAAGTTGGACTAGACCGGGACTGTTACAGGACTAAGCCGGGTCTACTGGTTAAACTGAACCAGGACTATTAGTACATTTGGCCTACTGCCTGGATTGAACTAAGAATACTAAACCCAGAATGCAACCAGTACTTTGTGTAGGCCCATAACAAGCTCAATTTACTAAAAAGTAGGGCAAAAAAGTAAAGAAAGAATTTTAGTTTTTGTTATTGTAAGTTCACGAAATCAATACTGATTTTTTTTTATAACGCTTCTGAAAGAAAAAAATAAAGTTGATTTCAAAATTGAGATTCATTCAATGCACTATCTCCTGAAATGGTTTTCTCTTCACTGCTGTGTATCAAGAAATGCCAAGTACCCAAAGCAATGATTAAAGCAAAGGGTGACTAAGTTTTGAGTGATTTTTTATTTATTTGTATTGTTTTAATGCCTCCAGTGAGAATCTACAATGTAACTAATCATGGAAAGAAAGGCTCACAGATAAAAAGTGTATCCAGACTTTGGACTGGTAGTGTACAGTATGTCATTTATAAAATGTAGTATAACAAGGAGTCGTTCAGCAGACGAGCAGAGGGGCACTCACCACTGAGGCCTGCTGCCTGGAGAGCTGCTGCAGCAGGGGGAAGGGGCTCCACTGGATGGGCTCCACGGGCCAGCTGCACACGGACAGGTCGCTGGCCTTCCCCGAGTCCACCACACCGTCAGCCAGGCTCAGGTCACTGCCCCTCCAGGCGTACTGAGAACTGCACCAGAGAAACACTGTGAGCTACACACTCTTTAGGCTTGAGTGTTTTTTGAAGCAGCTTTAGAAACTTTACTCTGGTATTTCATGTCTTACAACTTTAAAGAGCCTGTACACGGCTATTTCCTGATAAATGTAGTTTCCTCATCACAAACAGACCTGGAGTTATGTTTCATTTCTTCCACATATTTAACACACACATCCTGCATATTTTTTTCTCAAACAGAGAACACTCTGTTCCACCTTGTGATGTCATGTGGTAATACAGGAAGTACTCCACTGTGTTTTTAAACTTCTCTGTAAACTTCACCAAAATCATATGGATAATTTCAGCCCTGGAATTGCCCCTCTCTACTAAACTAAAGGTAAAAGGTGAGTTTTAGAGAAGTAGACAGACTAATAATAAATGAAAAGAAGCAAAACACCAGTCAGGGTTTGATTTTAAGGAGACAACAACATTCTAACATGGCTCACAAAAGTCAGTTTTGTGTAATCTAGGACCTTTCATATTGGAGCTGGGTGCTGTAGGTTGTTTATAAATGAATCAATGGTGATTATGAGGATTTATATGTGCCCGAGCTGACAGGAGAACATATACCTCTCTCTTGCCAGTAGGAGGAAGTAGTTGCCTGATACACATTTTCTCAGTGAAAAGAAAAGCCAATGAACTGAAATAGAGCCTTATAATCATAGACTGTATAAAGAAGTGGACTAAAGGAGTGTGACGTCACCCACAGTGTTCGGCTGCACCAAATGAAGCTCACGGAGCTAGTGGTTATAGGAGGGAATTTAGAGCAGAGTTCCATATTAGGAATAAGTATTTCTTTATGGACAAAATAGGAAAATAAAAACACCAAGATCATGTAGAGTGGGTTAATATGAACATTTAAAGACCTAAATGAAGAGGCTCACTGCTGCAGTTACAGAGAGAGGAGGGACAGTTTTTCAGTATAAAGTCATTTCGAATTGGAAGGAGTTGAAGGAGCCGGAAGTTTCAACATGCGCACTTCCTGTTTGGAAGGTGGCTGGCAGGGTAGCTCTGTGCATTTATAGTCTATATCCACTCTGAACACTGTGCTGCTCATACTAGTATGTTCAGAAATTAGAAAAATATTTTATGCTCTATCAAAAAGAACATTACAAGATGTTTACGTCTAAAAGAAGAGGCCCCCATGTGCATTTTTAAATAGGCCTATATATAGATGTATAGACTGGAAATAAGTATTAAATTATTAAAAGTCTGTTAATATATTGTTTTTATTCCACAAGCATATATTTCAAAGTCCAGTGGCATTTATCTAACCATTTTTGGGCCAGTGAATGTGTAATAAAAGTGCTGAGTCTTATTTAGTTGTCTCAGATCGCTGCAGTTTCACGACAGCCTTCTCAGACCCTGACCTGTGTGGGTAGATGGTGCGGATGTGGGTGCCCGGGCTGGGGCAGGTGGAGGGCAGGGACAGGCTGTCGTCATGGTAACAGCAGGGCCTCTCCAGCGCCCGCAGGTGGAGGATCTCTGTGGAGCGGGTGAAGGCGGGGTTATCCAGGGAGTCCGCTGACCCCGCCCACGAGCGCAGCCAGAAGCGCCCGGACAGCTCGTCGAAGTGGTTGAACCTGCGGTAACTTACCAACACGCTTGTTAATCATCTGCACTGCTGGTCACGTTTGGACACACCTTCTTTTTTTATGTATTATGTCTTTAGGTTCTCCGCTTTCTACATTTTATATACACACAGAAGACATCAAACATATGAAGCAAGATATATCGGATTATGTAGTAAAGAAAAAGAGAAATAAAAGTAAAACATCCCATATTACGCTCTTTTATAATGTTGTGTTTTGTTTCATTCACACATTTAACACACAAACCCTGTATATTTAGACTGAGTTCTTCTCTCAAACAGAAAAAACACAGGAAGTGCTCCTCTGCATTTTTAAACTCCATACACCTTCACTAAAGTCACTTAGATCATTTCAGGCCTGGAATTGCCAGTCTCTACTGAACTAAAGGTAAAAGGCAGCTGTTAATTTGAAAACTATTACTACATGACATCACAAAGTGGAACGAAGCATTTTGAACTTTGGAGAAGCAGACAGACTAATAATAAAGGGTTACTCAAACATGTGCTCACAAGCATCAATTTGACGTAATATAGGACCTTTAAATCAGTGTTTCCCAAACTTTTTTTCTTCATATTTTAAAAGTCACAAACCTTTCCAATTCAAGTCATTAGACATTAACTGTAAATCACAAAATAAAGGTGGATTTGAGCAATTTGTATTAGTATAATTTTAAACAATGAAAAACAGTAATTAAACCACCAAAAATCTAAGTGTTTGTCAACCAAATCGGGTGCAGCGTTTCTAAATGTCTCTTAAAGGTTGTATGGAGGATTTTATTTTATTTTTTTCAAATTGTCACTGAAAGTGCAGAATAGCATTATAGAGTTGCACCGGCCTTGTAATGATGATGATCAAAAAAAAAATGAAATCCATCAACTGTGAACGTGGTGGGGCCAGCTAAACATTAGCCAATAGAAAACAAGGCAGTTCGCCGCAAAAGAAGAGGAGAGAAGAGAAGAGAAGAGGAAAAGGAGCAAAGCCAAATTAAGTTGATTCTTGGAGAGTCCTTCCAATGGCGTGCACTGAAGCAGACGAAGGGTCTAAAAACTCACACACTGGTCACTAAATTACTTCTGGACAGGTAACTTCAACAGGAATTTATTTGTTCAGCAATTCTGAATGCACACCAGCTGTAAACAAGCATGATTTCTAGTGGAAGGAGGAGGCGGAAGGAGGGAGGAGGCGTTTCTCTTCTCACTGGAGAAGGGAGCTGAGGGGGAGGGGGTGGTGTCACGCATAAGCAACATTTGAAAAAGGACAAACAGTCGCTGTATTTCTCTTTCCTTGGAAAATCCTCCATACAACCTTTAAGTTTAGTTGGCTTCAAACTCTCGTTTGCCAGTTTTTCGCTGCAGATGACACACACTGGCCTTGCATCCCGGTTAGGACCAGCACAATTTATAAAGCCATAATTCAAAAAATAGTCGGCCTTACTGGTAATTTACTTTTACTTTTGTAACCCAGGTTAAAATACAGATGTACAGTCAATAGCCAATATTCTGACTACTACCGGTCAGTAAACGAATCATGCTCACTCTCGCGCTTTCAACAAGTCACCTGCTCCCCTGCCTCCATTCACACCCGGGAGTGAGGTGAGACAGGACGGCTGTGCAGGAGCCCTTACCGCTAGCATCCGAAGGTGAATAGACCGTACAAAACCATAACACAAGGGAATTGGCCAGGCGATTCCGGTTAAAAAACATCCCAATGGCGAGCTGAACCCAGGAATTCTTCATACAACTCACAATACTCCATACAGTTTCTACGGTCGGGTAGGGGCTGTTGCAGCCAGTCCGCTCCCACACTTTACCTATTCAAACACGCGTATGGACAAACACACACACCCTTTAAAAGACTATATGGACACGAATTGTGGACATTAAAATCCACATTTGCCCATGGACAATGATAAAGAATCCAGCAAAGTGACTTACTTATTACTGTTGCTTTGAATGTATTAACCTGACTTGAATTGAGCTGACTAAGATGATAAAAGAAATCTGCAGATTACTGTGATTATTGTAAATATTGTATATATATTTTGTTCACCCCACTTTTCGCTTTTCAATATACGGCACCAGCCACCAAACATAATTCTGCAATCTCTTGTGCTTTTTACTGTTTTCCTACCTCCCAGAGAGCCGCAGTCTAGTCTTCTGTCCCTAGCCCTACACCAACTTCACCCCTTTTGTCCCTAGCGTACCACTTTAGATATGCGACACTTTCTTTTACTGGAGGCTCCAATCCCTGCTCCACAGCGTTAAAACTAGCCTCATTTCCATCTGCATTTCCAGTGCTAACAACACTCGTACCAGCTTCATTGCGGATTGGCTCCTGACTTCCCTCATTTCCCTGAAGTGCACTGACCTTTGTGGATTTATCACCCTTCTTTTTGGAAAACCAAGCAAGCATTTCTCAACTTTAGCTGTAGGAACATTCAGGGCAGATAGGACTCGCTGACTTATGAGCTCTGTCATGTGTCAGAAGTGTATATTACAGACCTACATGCAGATCGTGACAAGGTGACCCAAAAAAAATCTCTTGTGACCCACCTGAGCGTCACAACCCAGTCTTTGGGAAACAAAGCTTTGAATAACTAAACTAAATATTTTTCATATTTTATATTCGAGAATGAGAACTTTGCACATCAATTACTTGTGATGGGTGCATTGGAGGAGAGGGAGCAGCCCAAGAACATGGAGTAAAATCCCGCACACCGTCTTACTTGCCAATTGTCAGATTTATTAGGACAAACAGTGCAACGTTACGGCACTAGGCCCAAGTTTTGCCTGACGAAGGCCTAGTGCCGAAACATTGCACGGTTTGTCCTAATAAATCTCAAAATTTGCAAGTAAGACGGTGTGCGGGATTTTTCTCCATCATATTTTATATTCAAATCCTCATAGTATCCAACCTCTGCTTTAGACAGAGCTGCATTTCACAGCTGTGCTTTGTCAGGGTCAAGAAGAGCCAACAATGTAAAGCAGTGATTAAAGCAAAGGGAGGTTATTTAAAATTAAAACTAGAATCTAAAAGTTTGGAGTTATTTTGAGCTTATCTTTTGTTTGTTAGATTCCACACGTGTCTATCCATAGTTTTGATGCCTTCTGTGATAATCTACTGTGCAAATAATCATGGAAATAAAGAAGAAAAATAAGTAAGGTGTGTCCAAACTTTTGACTGTATTTCACTAATCACAACTACAATGGCGACCTGTGATGAGGCGACAGAGGCTTCTGACCTTACCTGCTTCTGGTCTGGTCCACTTTGGCCTGGATGAGGAGAGCTCTGTACCTCCTCACAACCATCCCCACCAGCACAGCCACCAGCCCCAGCAGCAGCAGCAGCACGCCCAGGCACGACAGGGCCAGGCGGGCTTGGGTCATCTTCACCTCACACCTCTGCCCCATGAACCAGAAGTCCTGCCCCGCCACGCACCTGTCCACAGACCACAGCACTTTTGAATTGGAAACAGATCACAGGTTACACATTTGGAATACTTGCGTTCTGATTTCATGTTTAGTCACTTCAGTTTAAGCCTGGAAACGTTTGATCATGACAAATGAGTAGGGTTGTAGTCCTTTAGTCGTTTAGTCCATAAACTGGTTGAAAGTTTCTATAAGTCGACTAACTGATGCAAATTTTGAGGCATCCAGGGATAAGATATTATCACCAAGTTAAACTAAACCAACTGGACTTAGCTTTTGAAGCCAACGTTTTGTTACCATCCAGGAAGCTTCATCAGGGCTTGTGCTGGTGACAGCGACTCCCACTCGATGTAGAGGTGGGAGGTATTTTAGTGACGTCACCAAAAAAGAACCAGCAGATGGAGGAGACGGTCCAGACTTTTAATAAAACGTCATCACCTACCGCTGAAGAAGCTACCTGCTTGGTAGCGAATTGTCATCTTCAAAAGCTTCAAAAGTCCAGCTGGTTTAGTTTAGGTGATAACACTGGTCGATTAATCATTTTATTTAGATAATAAGGTATTTTCTGGGCTATTAAACGCGCTCTTAAGCCTCTAACCCCATCAAAAAACGACTGCGCGCCCCACAATCCAGAACGCCCTATACACGAATCCACTCAGGTGTCCCAGGATGACTTCAGTAAACTACAAAGCCGCACCACCCACAGTACACGCAAACACACACGGAGCAGACAGCGACCGCACAGCGACACACACCCCCAGACACACATCACTCCACACCGACGAGGAACGGAACGGAGGAACGAACCGAAAAAGCGAGTGCAACGTGCCACTTCTAGACACAACTGAACAACTGAGTCACTGTGAACACACCGACAATCCAGACAGCACCTCTCCTACACGCCACAACTGAACAAAGCCCAGAGTCACCGTGAACGCCACAAACAAACAAAACCACTCACCCATCACACTGTTGTGTTTCCTTTAAAGTCCGGTGCGGTTTATTTGTGAAAAAAGTTCAAAAACAGACCATTTAATGACAGTGCGCCTTATAATCCAGAGCGCCTAATAGTGTGGAAAATACGGTAATAAGAGACAACTGCAGACTGGAGAAGTTAGTTAACCCCTTCATGTTTCGGCCTATTTTTCCCAAAATGCCTGACTGAAATGACTCTCAATTCAAACCGTTTGGAGCACAGATGAATGGCTGAACTCTTTGTGAAGCTGAGGCTCTGGAGTCTGTCTGAACTGCTCTCATTTTAAATGTTAACAAGCTCTACACAGAGAGAAGTCAGATTTCAAACTGAAATCTTTAGGGTAAATATAAGAGGAGGTATAGCAGGTGTCTCTGGGGCAGGGGTCACCAACCCGTAGCTCGGGAGCCACCAGTAGCTCTCCACGTCCTTCCAAGTAGCTCGCCAAACAATTTTTGAAATATAAGTTTTGAGCTGAATAACAAAAATTAGATGACTAGAATGACTAATAAAATTGTAAATGTATAATTTTCCCGCCTAACTTTACTTTCTGCACTAATGAACAGATGATGGTGTATGTTTCACAGGCCTCTAGCTGTTCCAATCTAGGGCTGTGGCTCTTATATTTACTCAATCTGTTGCAACTTCTAAAATGAGTAGCTCTCTGGCATTTTGGTTTTGTAAAGGAGCTCATTGGAGGAAAAAGGTTGGAGACCCGTGCTCTGGGGATGGTCTGAGAGAGAGAGCATATTGAGCTTTTGTTGGGTGTTGACAATGTGAAAGCTGAAGCAGATCTCACTAAACATGAGATTTAGGGACTTGTAATAAGGCAAAAGAAAAGTCAAGGTGGAATAATATTTTTGTGATTTTTTTTTTTTTTTTTGTATTTGTGGGTATGGAGTACAAACCGGTCCAGATTCATCTCAGAGTGGCTGATTTAACTGAAAATAAGTGGGTATAGATTTCCATGATTATCTCAAAAAACTATGAATATTTTACTACACAAATGCATAGAATTATAAATAGATAATAATTTTTCTGAGATTTTGAGGCCACTCCTGTTGCTCTAGCTCCATCCTTGGTGGAGTTATGACCAAAAACACATATTTGACCTTGGTTACCTTGACCTGTTTCAACCTGTAATCCAGTGTACCCCGGTTATGTGTGTGCCAACTTGTGTGATGATTGGGTGAATATTTTAGGCCGCAAATGGTTCAGAAATTGCCAAAATTGCCGATCCTTTATAATGGCGTGACCTTTCAATTGTCCTGTGTGACCTCAAATGACCTCGGATCGTCACCAAACTTTTTTTTTGCGGCATCGGGCACGAGGGCTTGACCCATGTACCAAATCTGGTGACAGTCGGTCCATAAATGGCAGAATTATCGCAGGTGGACAGACAAACAGACACATAGGGTGAATACAAAACCTGGTCAAACCTTTGGGGACCAGGTAAAAATGGGTGACAGGCTTGTGGGTTGAGCTCAGCGCAAGAGGCGTGGACTTGAACTGTTCAATCAAACATGCATGGATGACATTTAAAATCACTCTGGGCATGTTTCTGATGACTGAACGATGTTATAACTAGTGCTGTCATGCGATTAAAAAAATTGAGAGATTAATTAATTATGATCTGTAATTAATTAATCTAATTAATCTCTTTTTAATCTCACCTAAAATTGCTGAGAAAAGCCTTCAATTTGAGGTATTTTCATTTAAATTCATTATTACATTATTGTGGCAGATCAAAAGACTGATATAGATTAAAAAAAATGTGACTTTATAAAGTCATTTATTGTTTAACAAATCTCTCCAAATTGTCTGTTGAGCCCAAGTCTCCATGAATAAGAAACTGTTTGCTGTAAAGTAGCAAAGACGAGGAAATCTGAACATAATAACTTTTGTCTACTTAAAGACAATAAAAAGTCCAGTCTTTCCTTAACCATATTAAAAATATTATTGATAGAGAAATGCTTTATATATGAGATCACTGGTTTTAGTCCTTGTTTTACTCCTGGTTTAGACCTGCTTTAGTCCTAGTCCTTTAGTCCTAGTCCTGGTTTAGTCCTGGTTTAAGTCCTGGTTAGTTAGTTAGTCCTGGTTTAGTCCTGTTTACCTGGTTTACCTGGTTTAGACCTGGTTTAGACCTGGTTTAGTCCTGGTTTAGACCTGGTTTAGTCCTGGTTTTAGTCCTGGTTTAGACCTGGTTTTAGTTCTGGTTTTAGTTCTTTTTCTGTTTAGTCCTGGTTTAGTCCTGGTTTAGTCCTTTTAGTCTTGGTGTTAGTTCTGGTTTAGAGGCGCACAGGAGGAAGCGCGGTTTACGCAGCGTACGCCAGAAAACACGATCCACACGCGGCTCACGGGAGCACGTCGGTGTCCACGCAGTAACTACGGAAGGAAACTTGGTCCGCGCGTTCTCAGGTTGATGACGATGATGAAGGTGTGTGTTTGTGTTTGTGTGTGTTTGTGTGTGTGTCCCCTCATGTGGCAGGTCACTATAGGACAGTAGTGCAGACATCATGAGTCTATGCAGGTTGTTTTCACCAGTGACATTTAAGGCGATATTATATTTGTTATTTTCACGTCGGGAGAATAATTTCCAAGACACGAATGTGTTTTTACCTGTGCACTGCTGCCTCTGTTCTACTGGCTCTTCCACCTCGTCCATTGTGTGACTGACGCCGCCAACGTGAACATGTTGTTTACATCGCTCTTACTGCGCGCGTTTTGTGTGGGTTTCCGACAATGAGTGGAATTACCGAAATAAAAAAATTTATAAATGTGTTTTTTTTTGTGTGTGTGTGTGTGTTGTTGTCCCAACAACACATAAAAACAGGTTTTATAATAAAGCAACTCACATACAGAAACAGTAAAGTTAGAGATTAAAAATGAGATTAACGCGATTAAAAAACATAACGTGCTAAATATGACTGTAATTAATTAATCGCAATTAACGCGATAATTTGACACCCCTAATTATAACATGGTAAGAAGCTCCAGAAAGTCTAGCATGTGCAGAGGTGTGTTGCGTACCGGCACAGTGGGGGCTGGCCCGGGTGGTGTGTGCACAGGCCGTGGTGCTGGCAGTAGTCGGAGTGACACACAGACGTACAGCTGAAGTTGGAGGTGAGAGAATCAAACACGCATGTGAATCCTGAGGGGCACTGCAGCAGCCAGCCACACACCTCCTGTACACCTGTGGAACACACCACACTGGACTCAGCAAAGGGTCATATGCAGTTTAGGAATTACAGAGACACTGACAAGACTGAGAAACACAAACTGGACATACACTGAGGAAAAACTTGGATGTGTCTTCTATCTGCAGGTTTAGGTACTGGCAAGATTTAGTTGTGTAGTTTCTTTTTTAAACCAGGAAGAGAGCACAGGCTACATACATGTATATGACAGACTTAATTTAAAAAAAGCAACAAATGAAGCTTTGCCTGAAAGTAACAGTATTTTTGTCAACAAATAGAAACTGAGTGGACATGCGTAGCAGCACAGCACCAGCTTTTGTTTCTAGTCAGATGAAGTTATGTTGTTTTTCTCACAGTAAGTGGGTTAGTTGAGTTAGCAGCTTTAGTGTGGAAGTCCCCTGTACGCGAATGAGAGCCGTGCTGTGGGTAATTAAACTGAAGATAAACTCTGGCCCATGAGGTAGAATGTGAGAAAGTGTCAACAAAACATGTCCTACATCCAGAGGATCCAGGGCAGAGACTCAAACCAGAGTTCTTCCCCAAATAAAGAGTGATAAAACTTGAATTCTGCCCATTTAAGTACATGTTTTCTGATGGAACCACTTGCTTGTCTCCAAGAAGTTACTGCTTTGCCTGGAATTTACAACAGTCTGACATTAAACTCCTCGAGGATAAAGTATGCATGGTTTGTGTCTTACATGAATGATCAGAACTATTCTAGTGAAGATAAATGCTCTTTCCATCATGCAGAGAACAAGAACTACATTGAAACTAAAATTTATGCAATTGACACAAAGAACTTTGTTTTTTATTAACTGATATCCTTTGTGCTATTATCAATCAATCAAACTTTATTTATAAAGTGCTTTTCATACAAAAATGTAACACAAAGTGCTTTACAGTGATTAAAAACAATTCCACATTTCCTTTCACACACCAACCCACCCCACAGTTGCCGACTCCACACAACCAAACAACCCAGACACACACACACGCACTCACACACACTCACACACACACACACATACTAACATGCTAAAATACCTAAAACTACCTATAGTAAAATGTGAGGCTGAATACAGGCACACTTATGGTGTAATGGGGATCCCATTCATTTCAATGGAAAATTTGAGAATAATCGAAATATTGTGATATCGTATCAACAAGTTCTCACAATAACATCATGGACCATCATAATATATTGAATTACAAGTCTCTTTGCTTAAATGAAGAGTTATGGTGCAGCAAAAAGACAGAGGGAACTACATAGACCATGATCCTTAAACGGTAGACTACCTGAAGAAATAACAGTTCTAAGTACTTTAAGTTTTAATTCTTTGGATTAAGTCTTGTCAAGACATTTTAAGAGGAAAAAGCATATTAACAGTTTTGTTTGCCTCCACAAAATATCACAATAAATCTCGTTCTGTGAGATGTATATCATGAAAACATCGTACAGAGAGATTTGGATATTGTCACATCCCTAATCGTGAGCCTCCCCACCATATTGTGAGCTTTCCCATGATATCGCAGTAAATATCGTACCGTGAGGTTCATACCATGATGATATCGTATCATGAGACTTGGATATCGTTACACTCCTAATGACAAAGTAGGTTCATTTGTGTGAAATGTTCAATCTACATGTACACCAACAAGTCAACACTGCACCAGTTCTCTGAGGGGCTGTAAAGGGCCTACGTTATGCTATTTTCTGATCTATGGTATAATATTGTTTCCTCATCACAAACATAGTTGGAGTTGTGTTTTGTTTCGTGTAACACACAAACCCTGCATATTTAGGCTGAGTTTTTCTTTCAAACAGAAAACACTAACTTCCACCTTGTGATGTCATGTGGTGATACAGTAAGTGTTACACTGTGGTTTTACACTCCATCCACCTTCACTAGAATCACTTAGATGATTTCAGGCCTGGAAGTGACAATGTGTACTGAACTAAATATAAAAAGAACAGAACATTTTGAGTTTTGGAGATTTGGGAAGGCTAATAAACCAGAAACGTGTGAATGAAACAAAACACAACTCTGGGCATGTTTTTGAGGAGGTAACAAGATTATACATGGCTTAAGGTTAACAAGAATCCATTTGATGTAATATAGGAGCTTTAAAACGGCTTTATAGTCCATATTGAATGTATTTGCTGTCAGGAGCAGCTCCCCAGCAAAATAATACAACCTGAATGATGATGGTGGAACGCAAGGCAACTTCTGGAATAAGGTGAATAACAAGGTAAAATTTTGTAACAGTTTAAATATGGAGCCAATTCATAATATTAAAATTATAACCATAACATTTTTAAACTGTCAGCCACTTCAGTAATTATCGTGATATAATCATTAATCATAATTCAGGGTATCCCCAGGTTTGACTACCCCAAATTTAAAACTTTTTAAAGACCTTTTAAAGACCAAGTAAATGAAAATTAAGACCAACATCGCACCCATTATGCGGGTGAAAAACACCAGATCCAATTCTAATAATGACCACTACTCACTGCTTTAAATAACAAAAAATACTTTCATTATAAAATCTCATTCAGAATTAATTTATAGTAGTATGCATTGCTTGTAAAATGTACAAAAAAATCGAAGCGTTTTCTGCTACGTCAAACGCGTCATAGGTGTAGCTGCCACGTCATCATTGTAGCAGCTTTAGTTCATGGTCACGTGGGAGGGTGGCAGAAATATGCTGCCATTTGTTAAAAAAAATGCCAAATTAATCTAAAAACCACTTGGGTGACAAATACAAGGCCCACACATCACTCTTAGAAGATAGAAAGCTCTGAAAAGTTGATTTTGCATGAGATGGGCCCTTTAATGTCATACTATGGAACATTCCAGGCAGAGCAATGGCATATCCATGGAAACAAGCAGGTGATGGACCCAGAAACTAAAAGTTACATAGTGCAGCTTTAAAGTTTGAAGATCATGAGATGTCCTGGACCTACATCAGCAACGAGTCAAACCAGCGTGTATCAGCTGTATCGATATCATGGAACCGATACACAATAATGCAAATGTTCCTGCACTGACACAGACATTCAATACCAGTATCAATATCGATATCGGTGCATGTCTAATTTCAGTATCGTCACATGCTTAAATATCACAGCTGCAGAAAAGACTAAGTAGGTGGGGCTAACAGTTCAAACGAAAACATATTCCCAGTCGGGCACAGGCCCTTCAATAGAACACTGACCTCCGAGCGTGATGTTGGTGATTCTGGCAGACCTGAAGCTCCGGCCGTCCTGCGCAGCCCGCCTCAGCCCGGTTCGGTCCAGCAGAGAGGAGGCTCCTGTTTGGGGCAGCCACTGCAGAGCTCCCCTGGTGTCGAACTCGAGCAGGCACTGCACGGCCGGACCGCTGTCACAGAACTAAGAGTTAACGTGGTGGTGTACATACATGGTCCTTCAATCATACACTGAGATCTACATAGACCTGTCAGCTGTACACACAGAAGACAGCAAATATATGATGCAAGAAAAAGTGAAATAACAGTCAAAGGTCCCATATTAATCTATTTTCTGATCTGTTCTAATGTAGTTTCCTCTTCACAAACACACCTGGAATTGTGTTTTGTTTCATTCACACATGTTTAAACTCCATACATCTTCACTAGAATAATTTGGATAACTTCAGTCCTAGAGTTGCCAATCTCTCCTGAACTCAAGGTAAAAGGCAGTCTGACCTTGCAGCATTAGGATTTGTCGTAATATTACAAGAATAAAGTTGAAGCCAGAAAAAGCTGTAATATTAATAAAGTCATAATTTTATAAGAATAAAGTTGTTATTTTATGAGAATAAAGTCATAATTTTATAAGAATAAAGTCAAAGTCAAAATAAAGTCATAATATTACGAGAATAAAGTTACAATAAACGATAATAAACTCAAAGTCAAAGTGAAAAATGCGTCAGAAGAAGAACCTTCTCAATCCGTGTATCATTCATTTATTTGCTTTTCAATATAAAACCGGGACCAGACCAGGACTTAGGCCGGGACCAGACCAGGACTTAGGCCGGGACCAGACCGTGATTGAAACCGGGACCAGACTAGGACCAGACAAGGACTGAGAACATGACTGAAAACGGTTTAGTCCTATTTGAGTCCTGATTCAGTCCTGGTTCAGTCCGTATGCGGTGCAAAAGTTCGGCATCGCAGTCACAGAAGTCACGGAAATGAGAAATGGTCGATATGGATGAATGATACACGGATTCTTCTCCGTTACAAAATGCTCCAAATTCTCCATAGCGCACCAGCCTATTCATTCATATTTTCCGAGTGGCCTATATTCTCATAATATTACAACTTTATATTGACTACGACTTTATTCTCATAAAATTACTACTTCATTCTCATAAAATTAACTACTTTATTCTTGTAAAATTGCAAGTTTATTCTTGTAAAATTATTACTTTATTCTCGTAACATTACGACCTTTTCTGGCTTCAACTTTATTCTCGTAACATTACGACTTTAATGTCAAAATGTCACGACTTTATTCTCATAACGCCAGCATAATTTATTTTTTTAATCTGAGCTGTACACTCCGTTGTACTTGTGCAAAGTTCATATGAAACACAAACATTTTAATCATCATAACAGTGAAAATGTCAAATGTGTCACATAAATGAGTTTCCTTCTTCTAAACAAGCAACAAAACTGTAGCTGTAACAAAATAATTTTGTAAAATATACCAAAAAAATACTCTTGCCGATATGTATCTATCTATATATATATATATCATCACATGATACGATATCATCAAATTATACGATATATCGATATTTCAATATTTTTGCACACCCCTAATTACTATAAGGTATTAATTGGTATCAGCACTATATAGCATATTTAGACCACCATGTTACATTCTATTGCTTTGAAAATGTTAAATTTGTATTCAAATGCAGAATTAGTTTCAGTTTTGTTTTTGCTGCTCCTCTCCCTTGGCTTCCCTCCTTCAGAGTGCTCTCAGAAAACAACCTCCATGTCACAAATATGAGCACACTGGAGGTCAAATTGGTGGTGATGGTTTCAGTGGCCATAAACCTCCACAAGTCTACAATTACATCAATATAGTAGATGGACAGTATTGGACCTTCATGTTAACTGTTTCTGGAAGTGTGGCTAACCTGCTCCACACTTCAAGCAGCTCCCGGAAACCTGGGGCCCTCTGGAGATACGGCTCCAACTGAAAACAAAACAAACGACAACAAGAAAAAACATTGAACTTTTTCTCTTCCATACAGTTTACTTTCCTTGTCAGATTTACCCATTGAGCTGTGTCCTCCTCCAAACCTTCAGTCACTGTGGGGTGAGGTTCTTCCACTGTGATCTGCAGCAGCAACTCAATGGACTCCACTAAACAAAACACACAAAACAAACCACTAAACAAAACACATTTATGGAGAAATTACAAGATAAAAATGTGGTGACAAGTGCAACACGCATAATGTACTATTTACCCGATGTAAAAAAGAAAATATCAGCATCATTTTCAGCGTTGTTATTTTAAAGGTGCACTGTGTAACTTTTCAGTTGGGGGTCTGTCATCTTTTAGTTTCTAAGAAGATGTCGTTGCTCTGCTTGGAACGTTCCACAATATGACATTAAGCAGATCTACCTTACATTTATTCAATTACAGGTGGTTTTAAAGCTCAAAAATACCTTGAAAAATAGGCATTGTGGCTGTGAGGGGGTCGCCTCTCCACAGATCTGACCTGTAACTTGGCCTGGTTTGGTCTCCATGAAGACAGAAAGCTTTAATGCCATACTGTGAAACATTTCAGACAAAGTACTAACATCTACATGGAGAAAAGCGTTTGACGGACCCTCCATGAGAAAAGTTACACAATGCACATTTAAATTCGCACAGAATGACTGAAATATGGAAACTACGACTCCATCTAGAACCGTTTAAATCTGTGTAAATCTCAGATGGATGGAAGGTCTCTTATGGAACAATTTAAGGTCCTGTATTACGCGCAACTGATTCTTGTGAGCTTTACCTCCTCAAAAACACTGGAGTTGGGTTTTGTTTCATTTCAAAACATAGTGGAGCACTTCCTGTATTACCACAATTTAAATGGTCACATACAGTATTTCTATAGCGCTTTTCCAACTTCAAAGCACTCAAAGTGCTTTACAACAAGGAACCACTCACCCATTCACACACCAGTGTACGCAGACACTGTGGGCAAGGTGGGTTAAGAGTCTTGCCCAAGGACACAACAACAGCATTCATCTGTAGGAGCTGGAATCACACCAGCCAACCTGTGGGTCACTGGATCTGACCGCTCAACCCATGATGTTTATGTTGAGAGCGGGATTCAAACCACCAACCATCAGATCAGTGGGTGAATGCTCTACCAACTGAGCTACTGCCGCCCACATTTAATATTTTAAATGATTTGCACATTAAAAAAAAGTATAAGACCAGAATTATAGGGAAAATATAGAGAAACACAATAAATCATGCATCTTACCTCGTGGATCTTACAAATAAAATCAACTATACGAAGTGTCTGTGTATGTATATGTACGAATACTAGAGTGTACATTGATGTGTGTGTTTGCGTGTGTGTTTGTGTGTGTGTGAACATCGACATGTATTGGATTGTGTGTCTGTATATGTGTATGTGTGTAAATCAAAAGAATTAAATAGGTATTCTTTCCGAGCCTGATTCATCAGCCAGTTTCACTTTGTTTCACTTCGTAGAAATCGTCTGACCTCACAGCGTTGGAATTTGTTCGCTCGACGGTAGGCGGGTACTTTTTTATTTAACAATTCGCTGCTATTTGACGTATGTAATGCGCCGCTAACGGGGCTAACTGGTATATTAAGCTTTTCCCAAATCCCATAGGAAGAAGGACAATAACATCTTTCCCCTTAATGAAATTCACCAAACATTTTCTTTATTCCGGCTTTAAATCTTCGATCTCAGGAATCGTTGACAACACAATATATGACTCTTCACTGATTGGCTGGTGTCCGAACTTGCACGTCCGGGGTTTTTGCAAACCGTCTGTTGTATTCTGATTCCTGACCTAGTTGCTGGAGAGAAATGAAATTGAGCGGAGGCACTAGGTGGCACCAGCCTGGCTAGAGTTGTTTAAACTCAATTTCGATACTAAGGACTAGACTCAATACTTGTACCGATTGTGATACCAAAATGAAAATAAAACCACTCTATTTAGACAAAAGAGTTTCAACATTAAGTCATAGTACTTTCTTTTCTATTCTCATGTGGTCTTATATGTGTGTAATCCCTCAGTGGTCCAGTAGGTTTTATAGTGGTCCATGGGCGTCTACTTATCTATGTGTGATCAAACTCAAGATCATCTGAATCTAAAGCGATTCAGGAAAAGTTCATTTCTGTCCTGTGAATGTGACTATTTTAGTATCGATACCTGCTCAAATGAGTATCTAGTTTCAATATATTTCAGTGTTAGTATAGATTTGCATCTGATTTTCTATGCATTTACATACAACCCTACTTTGAAGTACACCCACAGGTACATGAGAGTGTTTTTGTGAGAGCAAATGTGGAATAACACATGCACAGTCCTTAACAAATAAACAAAAAGACTTAAAAATATCAAACAGAAGTACCTTTTATGATCGCTGGCTCATCCGGGACGATGTAGAACTTGGGTTTATGCTGGACTGTGGAACTTACAACAGCCGCAGAACTCAAATATGTCTGTGTGACAGCGGTGACTCGGTTGACGGGTTCAGGAGTCCAGGAGGTCATATATCGCGACAATGTTGTTGAAGCTCTTTTCTTTTCTTCTTTCTTGCTCGGTTGCGTTGATGTAGCTGGAATCTGATAGCTACTGGTACTTATTGATAACTGATGAGGGTTTTGCTTCTCTTGTAACACCGTGGACGCTATACTCCTTAGGGTTGTTGTATAGCTAGAAGATTCCGTTTTTGGTAAGATTTCATCGTCTACCACAGTGCTTTTGAATGTTTGTTGCACAGAAATTGTATTAGGAGACGGAGTTGACACGCCTGTAGCTGACGTGCTGTTGGAACGCACGGAATTGCTTTGTTGATTAACTAAAGTTCCTGGTGACAGAGTTGATGTTGGAGCAGTAGAAATAAGTTTAAGTTCAAGGCTCGCTGTGGTGCCACCAAAATATGAATTTGTTGTGAACGGGTCATTTCTTCCAGTAGTCTTTCCCTCGTCTTTGCTGCTTTCTTCAAATTCTGAACCGGCAGTCGGACTAGTCAAAGACGTCAGCGCAGTGTCCTTTTCTGTGTCCAAATCTGGCACAAGGCTAGTGAATGACGTTTCTCGAGATGTCATTTCGAGTCTTTGAGCGTTTTCAGTGCTGTCCTGCGTGGAGGGCAAAAGCTTAAACGTCACAAACGTATTCAAACCCGATTCTTGTTCGTCTTGAAATTCCACAACGCTTTTTGTTGTAATATGCGACATCTCAGTTGACTCAGTCGTTAAAAGTTTTTCCAGTAAACTACTCGTGCTCGAGGAGTGTTCAAAATGGGTGCTGCTACCTTCGATGAGCTCTTTAGAAACTGTTCTCAGGCTTTTGCTGGCCAGTGTATCGGTACTTTGCCAATTTTCGGTCAAATCCTGAATTTTATTTTGTGGATTTTGTGATAACACGGTTGACTCTGTGTCCAACTCAGACACAATAGACGACATAGATAAACTTTTATTTTCTTCATATCCTAGAGTACGACTAGTTGTGTACAATCCAGTGCTTACAGACATTTCGCTGTTACTTGCCGCTTCATTTGACTCTGAAAAAGTTTGTAATTTTATATTTTGTGATGTCTTTAATTCAGAACTTTGGATTGAATGTTGTGTGTTAAAATAGTCCAGTGTCCCAGGACTATCAGTGCGCCGCGTTGCTCCAGATGTATCCGGTCCATTGTTCCACTCTTCCCCAGGAAATATAGAAGCTTCCCTGACGGTGCTCCCAGAGGCGGAGGGAGTGGCGGTGGTGAGTCGTGTCGGCCCGGGGTTGGGGGTTAAATTCCCAGAAGGATCCGCGCGTTCGGAAAGGGGACCCTGCTCGGTGGTGGTGGCTGAAGAAGAGGTGAAGATGTCGGTGGGGTGTGAGTCTGGGCTGGAGTAGGTCTCTGTGGAGCTCCTCTTGCCATCCTGAACTGGAAAATAAAGAAGAGAGATAGAGCCAAAGCGTGATGTAATCAAAGCTAACACCTCTGCCGTGAGATCAAACTTTCCAAAAACAGACTCATGACACAGGCAACCAAAATGTTGTTCTTCCATTTAGGACAAAGAGTCGCCAACGGTATCACTGACTGTCCAACTGCAACTCACCTTTTAAGGGCATTTGTTAGTGTTAAGTTATAAAAATATACTACGCAACTGATCTTCATGCTTAAAAAAAATGTATTTGACGCAAACAACTCAAAACATTACAACAAGAGAATAAAGTTCAGGAAATAACGTCATAGGAACGAAATGTACACAGAGTCACAGCATGAATCGTTTTGGTTTTACTAAGGTTGAGGTATTCTATTATGATACCTCGCGTTGTGAAGTCACTGGCGCAACCTGTCAGAAGGAGTGAGTTTCTGTACTGTGCTCAGGGAACAGTCTCCAGTTCTTGAGTTAGTCTTGGTCAGGACGACCTTAGCTGGAGGATGTGACCTTATGCAAGTTTTGGGCTGATGGGGGAAGCCAGAGTGCCCGGAGGAAGATACTGTAACTTAGACACAAGGAGAAACACGCAAACTCCACACAGAAAGGAAGCAAACATCGCTGTGAAGTATGGACACTAGCCACTGTGCCATCTGTGCCAAACATTTCCAATCTGTTGTTACATTGTACAACAAACAGATAAGTGTGCTCCTCAGGCCTACAGCTTGGATGGACTGACACTGTGTGCAACTTATCACTTATAGCTGGACAGTAACAATACGTAAACAGTGAGTTGGACTCAACATTAAATATAGTTTAAACCAGGAATCTCCAACCTTTCGCATCCAGTGAGCTACCTTTAGGAAACAAGAATGCCAGAGAGCTACTCATTTTAGCGATCGCAAGAAATTGAGTTGATAAAACAGGACCTTAGTGTTGTACAGTTAGATGCCTTCAAAACCTAAAACCATTATCTATTTATTAGAACACAAAGTTCAAAATAACACATTTTCAATGGTAATTAACAAAATTTGAGTTATTCAGTTTAATACTTAATTCAGAAATCCCTTGGTGAGCTACTTGTAACAGGGTGGAGAGCAACTGGTTTAAACACTCTCACAGATGTCTTGTGTTGGAAAGGTTTCATCATGGCTGCATTATGAAATCGAATGGGTAAGGTCAAATTATAAATTGTAATTTATCTAAAAATACTATTACATTTCTGTTATACTGTAATCTCAATCAAGTGGTCTTCTGTTGGCTTTTTTTCTTAAAGGGACTTTTGTAAAATTTACTTTTATTTTCTTTTAACCATGTTATAGTAGTTCTGTGTTTGAGTAACTGTGTATTGTCCTAGCCTGATTCATCAGCTGGTTTCACTTTGTTTCACTTCGTAGAAACTGTCTGATCTTGCAGTGTTAGAATTTGTTCGCTCGACAGTAGGTGGGTACTTTTTTTCATTTAACCAATCACTGCTATTTGGTCATGATGTATGTAATGCACCGCTTGCAGGGTTAACTGGTATATTAAGCTTTTCCCAAATCCCGTAGGAAGAAGGACAATAATGTCTTTCCCCTTGATAAAATTCACCAAACATTCTCTTTATTCCGGCTTTAAATCCTCAATCTTGGGAATCGTTGACAACACTGAATATATGGCTCTTCGCTGACTGGCTGGTGCCCGAACTTGCACTTCTGGGTTTTTGCAAACTGTCTAGTGTATTCCGATTTCTGACCTAGTTGCTGGAGAGAAATTAAATTGAGTGGAGGCACTAGGTGGTGCCAGCCTGGCTAGTATTGTCCTGCATTTGAGGTTTTACTGTTCAGAAAATCTGTTTTTCCCTACCCCCTATTCCCCACCCACTCCTCCGTATTTACTTCTATTATTTATTGAGGCTGATCAGTTCTGTAGTTTTAAACAGGAAGTGAGTGGACCTGTTTGAATTATTAAGCCTTTTTAGGTTAATATTAAGGTTCACAAAAACACAACACACAATATAGTGTTGTCACAATACTAACATTTCAAACTTGTTTTCGATACTAAGGACAGATTCGATGCTCAATACTGATACACAGCTCATGATTTGATATTATCATGATATGACACATGTGATAACAGATATATTACACAAGATACTCTGTGATATGTTGTTGTTTCTTAAGAACCAAATATAGTTCAGTAACAATATTTCTTTGTAATACCACTACTTGTACAAAGTTAATATGAATACATCTATTTGAATCATCAAAACAGAGTATGTCAAGTGTAGTTTTCTTCCACTAAATAAGCAATAAATTTGTTGTGTCACAAAACAAATTGCTAGAAGATACCAAAAATTACTCTTGGCAATAGATATAACTATGGCAGCCCATGATAAAAATGCTGTATCACCAAATGTAGTATCATGATATCTGGATATTATATCATGATGTAGTAAAACTGATGACGGCTCAGATTTGTGACTGTAAACATGTGCATGTCATAAACCACTAGAGGAGAGCAGCAGTTCCTCACCATAATAGAAGAGCTGGAAAGCATGTGTGGAATGTCCTGCTCCAGTCCAAGTGAGAGTGGCTTTGTTTTGGTCACATCCAGAGAGCAGGACCGTGTCCCCTACAGCCAGTGTCCTCTCTTTGTCCCAAACGCACACCAGGGACATGTTTGACCCCGTCTCCAGCCACACTAACTTCAGCAGTACTGAAAGATGCTCAGGAATCTCCAAAATCCTAGTGCAAATCATGAGTGGAGACCTGGTTTGGTCTGTCCCCTGCTCTGGACTGAAACTCAAATGTCCCATAGGCTCCTGAGACAAGTCCATGTATCCATTGCATATGTGAGAAAGTAGGACCAGTGGTGTATCTGCAAAGGAAAGATATAATGGCAGTACCATCAAGATGTATTGATGTCCAAAATACCCCAATTTATCACATTTTTTACATTAAATTTAGCTGTTAATATGCTATAAATTCAACATGAAACGGTTTTTAAAATTATAATTAAGATTACAGAATAGATTATATAAAAAAACAGCAACTTTGAAATAATTTTAAAAGATGTATTGAAATGTTATGATCCATTGTATTTTTCCTTACTAAAATTAGAGTGTAGTCTGTTTATAGAGTAAAATTTGTTAAAAATCAGCTAGTGGGTTAATGTCATATTCCCAAAAATAGAACATTGGAAAAATTGATGTTGAACATAACAGAAAATAGCAAAACATGGGTAGGGTGACCAGATGTCCCTATTTACCCGGGACAGTCCCAGTTTTAAGCCTGTGTCCCCTGTCCCAGCACATTAATTTATCCAAGATTTGTTCCAGTTTTATACAAGAAATGTGATGAAGTATCCCAATTTTTGACCAATTTGAGACATAAATTGTCATTTGTTTAGGTAAAATACAGAAAAGCTGCTTAAAAATGACAAAAACACCAAGACAACGTGACTATACTGACTCACTTTAGTGCCCAGTGCGTAACAGTTTTCTTTAATTACGCACACGTTTCACAGTTTTATTATTATCAGCCCAAACCAGGAATGTCACAGTTTTTTTATTCTGAAAGTCTGGTCACTCTAAATAAATATGGGCCCTTAAATGTCTTACCTGTGAGGAGGAGAAGCAGCAGCAGACAGGCTTTGAGCTGCACCATGTCCAGTCCTGAGACATTTCAGACACAACCCCGGATAAACACTATCAAATCCGCACAAAGGTCACGCTGTAAACCCTCTCGTCTCCCCCGCGGTCTCGGCAGCTCGTACACTCTCTCCCCGCTCTGTCACATCACTTCCTCGGGGGGCAGACTCTGCAGCAGCGAACGCTCAGCTGCGGAGGAGCGGAGGCCCAAATGAGCCGCACGTGTGGCCGCCTCAGTGTGCGCTCTGGCCCCGCCGACGGAGGAGGAGGAGGAGGAGGAAGCTGGAGGAGGAGAGGACAGCGGGGAACAGCGCCTCCAGGCTCTCGTAAAAGACTCTCCAGATAAGAGAGGAGGATAAAACGACGGTAGGTCAGTTTTAATTGGTGTTAAATCCACAAACGGGAAGTAAACACATGAGGTAGAAATAAATGCTCATTATGGCTAAAAATGTAGCCTAGCTGTCTTCCGGAGTGTAGCTAGACAGATTAGCTTCATGTATTTATTTAGGTTATTGTTTGTTTTATGTTTGTGTTTTTGTTATTGAACACCGTTAATAATTGTATCTATAATTAAAATAGAAAACCTGGGTAGAGAAGCAAATTGGAGGCCTCAGCTTCGGCTTCAGCTCAGAAGTGACCAAGTGAAGTCCTCCTCTTCAAGTCACAAGTAAGTACGTCACACGTAGGAATAAACTTTATTGTTGAGGACAAATATAAAGTTAACCTGAAATTACAAGACTTGAGTCATTGGCATTCAACAAGGGGGCGTTATTTTTGCTCCTCCTAAACTTGTGTTCCAATAGACACATCAAGAATCTCGGACTTCTGGTCATTGCGCAGTGCAAACTGGGAAGGATTTTCCGAAAAAGTGAGCATCAAACCTCCATGTTTGTTTTCCCAGTGGGATGTGTCTATTGACAAAGCCCATCATTTCAAGTCTTCTGAAACATATCACTTTTGTTTCTGGTTCTGATATTGTCATATTTCAGTTTTGGGATTCGGACATTGTTAATTTTTTTTTATTTTATTTTTTTTTATAATTTTTATTTGCAAACTACATAGATTACAACAAATAGGAACCAAACGACATACAAGATACAAGACAGACATTACAACTGAACATTACATACAAATAGGAACAAAGATGACAGGGGTTGGTGACAGTGTGAACCTTATGTGCGTGTCTGTGCGTGTGTGCGTGTCTGTGTGTGTATATGCGTGTGTGTGTATGTGTGTGTGTATGTGTGTGCATACGCGTGTGTATGTATGTGTGCCGGGGGGGATAGACAGGCTATGTGGATGATTTAATGTTGACCTGTATTATTGCTATTTAATTTGAGTATTGAAAATTTGTTAAGTGTGTGTTGGCATTTTGCCTCAGATCCCCACTGAAGTGGGAGCAGGCCAAGCCACACTCATGCCCACCAAGGCGGGTGCGGGGGCCACCCCCAGGGCTCCGCATGTGGTCGCCCATCGACCAGGCCGGCCCACCCCCCAATGAACCACCTCCCGATCTGAATGCTCCCCCTCCCTGATATATATGTACATGTGCATACATTCACACGCACACATGCATGCACGCACCTGCCTGCACAGGAATGTGCACGCACATACACACACAAGCCTACACACATACTCACACAATTCACACACATGAACCCACATTCATCCCTGGTTGACTTGTGATGCATTAAAAAAAAAGTTGGGTGTGATGCATTAAAAGTATCAGGGAGGTAAGGAGCTTGGGGGTAGACCAGAGAGTGAAGCCAGCACAGAGGGGAGACCCTGAGGGGACGGGAGAGCACGCAACCGGGCACCCGTAGGTGGACCCCCACACCCAACACCCAGGTGACAGCAGAGAGGGCCCAGCCCGCTAGGGACCTGAGGCAGACAACTTTGTGCTGTGTTCCTAAGTCTGTTAAAGTTCTGTTTTATATAGCCTGTCTATCCCATCCCTGTTTCTTTATAAAATTAAGCAATGTGTATGGCATTGCGTGTTTGTACAGGTGTGTGTGAGTGTGTATGGGTGTGTTATGTGTGTGTGCATGTGTGCATGTGTATGTACTCTCAGGACTTCATCTATTTTAATGTCAAGCAAAAGGTGATAGGCTACCAGACAAAGAAAAGTGTTAAGGAACGAGGAGGAGAAGAGTAATCAAATATGAAATTACATTTGTAGAAAATGGAGGAAGGTGGACCAGGGTGAGTGTGGTGCTGTTGTGCTGACGGGGGTAGTAGATGTGTATTCCAGAGAGATATGGTCAATGAGTAGGTTTTTCCAGTGTGTCAGATGTATGTTGTGTCTTGATTTCCAGTTCATGAGGATAGTTTTCTTGGCGATAGTTAGGGCCACAAGGAGAGGTTTATGGTTTTTATTATCTATTGAGATTATTGAAAGGTCTCCTAGAAGACAGAGTGAGGGGGACATGGGGATGCGACAACCCATGAAGTGGGATAGTGAGTCCGTGATTCCTTCCCAGAAGTGCCTGATGGGTGTGCAATGCCAGAAGGCGTGAATATAAGTGTCGGGGAGGTTTTTGTGTGCAATTTGTGCAGTTAATTTCTGATGTGAAACCCATTTTCAGCATTTTTTGACCAGTGTAGTGAGTCCTGTGGAGTACCTTATATTGTATGAGTTGTAGATTTGCATTTTTTGTCATGAGATAAATGTTTTTACAGATCTGGGTCCAGAAGTTGGCATCACGAGTGAGGGAGAGATCTTGTTCCCATTTTATTGACGGTAATGATATAGTTTGGTCGGAGTGAGATATTATTTTATAAATCTTTGAAAGGAGTTTTTTGGGGTTGGGGATATTGATTAATTCTGAGATTGCAGGGGAAAGGCATAGATTTGCTGTACTAGAATTAATTTTTGACTGTATCGAGGATTTGAGTTGTGAATATTCCAGAAACTGATTACTCGTGATGCCAAACTCCTGGACCAGGTATGGGAATGACACCAGTGTGTTATTATGGAAGATGTGTTTTAAATGTGTGATGCCCTTTTGCACCCAGGAGTGAAAATTAAGTGTTTTTTTTGTTGCTAAGAAAGTCAGGGTTATTCCAGATGGGGGTGAAGTTAGATAGTGAGATAGCTGAACATGTGATTTTGTGAAATTTCCACCAGGCTGTCAGAGTGGATGCTATGGTTGTTACTTTGAAACATGGATGTCGTTTGATTGATTGGCTGAGAAAAGGGATATCTGAAATCTGAATGTCCTTACAGAGTGTTTCTTCTATGTCTAGCCAGGTGTAATCTGAGTGACTGGGGTGTGTCCACTTGTATATGTACTGTAACTGATTTGACAGAAAGTAATGATAGAAGTGTGGTGCATCTAATCCGCCTGTTGCTTTTGGGTTTTTGAAGTGTTGTCAGTTTGATCCTTGGTGGCTTATTTTTCCAGTAGAACTTGGTGATTATTGAGTCGAGGGAGCTGAACCAGGTGCTGTTGGGTTGGATTGGAATCATTGAAAAGAGGTAATTTATTTTGGGAAGTATTTTCATTTTGATTATTGCTATTCTGCCCAGAATGGATAGTGGTAGATTCCTCCAGTGGTATAGATCGTTGTCTATTGTTTTGAGAAGTGGAGTGAAGTTGAGTCCAGTCAGCTCTGACAGCCTGGAGGAAATGTTAATGCCCAAGTATGTGATGTGACCGGTGCATAAAGGAATATGTGATGTATGAGCTGTCGCATCCCATTTGGTGTTGTGTAATGGGAGGATGGAGGATTTTGTCCAGTTTATTGAGTAGTCAGAGATTTTAGAGAATGATTCAATGAGGGTAATTGTTTCCTGTAGAGATGATTGTGGTTTCTGGAGTGTAAGTAAGATATCATCGGCATAGAGATTTATTGTATGTTGCATATGAGCTGTTTGAAATCCTTGTATGCGGGGGTTCTGACGGATGGCTATTGCGAGTGGCTCAATGAAAATGGTGAATAGGGAGGGGGAGAGTGGGCATCCTTGCCTAGTCCCTCTGTGCAGTGTGAAGCATTGTGATGTTAGACCATTAGTAATGACAGAGGCTGAAGGTGAAGTGTACAAAATTTTGATCCAGTTAATAAATGATTCCCCAAAGCCAAATTTGTGTAGTGTGGCGAAGAGAAATTTCCAGTTTACCTTGTCAAATGCTTTTTCTGCATCTAAGGTTGCTATGATGGCGTCTTCTTCTTGTAATGATGAGTAGTTGATTAAATTGAACAGTCTGCGTGTATTATTAGATGCTTGTCTACCTTTGATGAAACCTGTCTGATCTGGGTGAATTATGTGAGGGGTGACCTGTTCTATTCTATGGGCGAGCGCTTTGCTGAGGATTTTTATGTCTACGTTAATGAGAGAGATAGGGCGGTAATTTGATGGTAGGGTGTGGTCTTTATTCGGTTTGGGGAGGAGTGAGATGATAGCTAAATTCATATGTTCTGGAAATCTGGACTTTTGTTTGATTTCAGTTATTGCTTTGGTGAATAGTGGTGCTAAAATGGACCAAAAGTGTTTATAGAACTCAGCAGGGAAGCCATCGGGACCGGGGTGCTTTGTTATTTGGCATAAGGTTGAGGGCTGTGGAGAGGTCTTTTTTCTGTTATCTGTGAATCTAACATACTAATCTGTTCTGTATTAAGTTGTGGTGTTTTGATGTTCCTGAGAAATGAGTCTATGTCTTCTTGTTTTGGTCCTGTTCAGATGAATATAATTTTTCATAAAAATTTCTGAATATTTCATTTATTTCCTGTGGTGAGTAAGTGAGCTTCCCTGCTGAGTTTCTGATGGTGGGAATTGTATTTTTTTCTTGATTTCGTTTGATTTGATTTGCCAGATATTTACCAGATTTATTGTTGTGATGAAATTGTTCTTGTCGAAGTCTGTGAATTAAGAATTGTGTTTGTTTATTTGTTATGTTGTTAAGTTGGAGTTGATATTTCCTTAAGTCATTCTGAGTTTCTGTTGTTGAATTATTAGCATTAAGTGTTTCTAATTGCTTGATCTTCAGTTCTAGACTTGCTTCTTTTTCTTTTTCTTTCTTTTTTTTATGGACAGAAAATGAAATTATTTTACCTCTTAAAACTGCTTTGCCTGTTTGCCAGAGAAGTGTGGATGATGACTTTGGGGAATCATTTATTTCTAAAGAAGGATGCCCACTCTCTTTGATATAACTGTCAAAATCTGGGTCATTGAGGAGGGATAGGTTGAAGCGCCATCTAGGGGCCTGTTTATGTTGCTTGTTT